GCTGCAGGCTTCACATGCTACAGACTTCACATACTGCAGGCTTCACATGCTACAGACTTCACATGCTACAGACTTCACATGCTGCAGGCTTCACATGCTGCAGACTTCACATGCTACAGACTTCACATGCTACAGACTTCACATGCTGCACGCTTCACATGCTGCAGGCTTCACATGCTACAGACTTCACATACTGCAGGCTTCACATGCTACAGACTTCACATGCTACAGACTTCACATGCTACAGACTTCACATGCTGCAGACTTCACATGCTACAGACTTCACATGCTACAGACTTCACATGCTACAGACTTCACATGCTACAGACTTCACATGCTACAGACTTCACATACTGCAGGCTTCACATGCTGCAGACTTTACATGCTGCAGACTTCACATGCTGCAGACTTTACATGCTGCAGACTTCACATGCTGCAGACTTCACATGCTGCAGACTTCACATGCTGCACACTTCACATGCTGCAGGCTTCACATGCTGCAGACTTCACATGCTGCACACTTCACATGCTGCAGGCTTCACATGCTGCACACTTCACATGCTGCAGACTTCACATGCTGCACACTTCACATGCTGCAGGCTTCACATGCTGCAGGCTTCACATGCTGCAGACTTCACATGCTGCACACTTCACATGCTGCAGACTTCACATGCTGCACACTTCACATGCTGCAGACTTCACATGCTGCAGACTTCACATGCTGCAGACTTCACATGCTGCAGACTTCACATGCTGCAGGATTCTCTCAACACTGACTGGTGGCAGGATGGTGTGGGTGTGGCAGATAGAGATGGGATAAATGGCTCTTTGAAGGGATCTGGATCTTGGGGAGCCGTTTGTTTCATAGAGCCGTTCAAAAGAGCCGTTCGATTTTGAACGTATTAAGTCATCACGTAGCCGTACATAATGACGTAATCCCGTCACGTGGGTGGAACCATTTGTTTGTCAAGCTTAAACCCCCCTCCCCCTTTCACGGTGAGCTTCTGTACTCCACAACTCCACCTGTTTTCCATGAAAAGGCAAAGCAGGAGCGATTTAAGTATGAAAAATAAAGATTATATGAGGAATAAAAGAAATAAAACTACAAATAGTTCATTACTGCCTGTGATTCGGCTCCTATCGTTCGTTGTAAAGAGCCGTTCAAAAGATTTGGATCGTTCACGAACGTCACATCTCTAGTGGTAGAGTGGCGAATGCTGATGTCTCTCTGTTTGCACATGATTAGCTGTAAATCACACATACATGATCAGATCTGCACCACATTCTGTGTGCACCATCTGGGAGACCTGCTCCACACATTAATATGTTAGTTTGGTGAGATCACTTTAGCCCCACCTACTTTGCACAAGGTTGGCTGTTAGTCATACATGATCCGATCTAAAACAAATTCTGTGTGCATCATAGGGACTTTAACCTGGTAATGTGTTTATTTATATTTATTCCAGTTATGTTTTGTTTGTGTCCCCTTTAGAAAGGTGAATAAATGTTATCGAGGACGGTCGTGCCCCATCATTGTTCACTGCAGGTAAAATTTTCTGTCTTTAAGAGCTAAATGTTTTGTTTCATTCTGGCTAACAAATTTAACTCTCATTCTTAGTTTTCATTCATTTTTCTAAACATGCAATCTGCACTGTCATACCATGTGATCACTTGGCAGCAGACTTTGCTACCATCCATCATGAATTTTGCTGAGATGAGGTTGTCTTGTGTTTTCATAGTGACGGTACAGGCCGGACTGGGACCTACATCCTGATTGACATGGTTCTGAATCGTATGGCTAAAGGTAGAGCACTTGAAGTCCAGATAAATATCTCAAACATGCCTGTAAAAGTAATTTTAAACATTCCTTTTATCTGTATTCCTTCAGGAGTAAAAGAGATTGACATCGCTGCAACACTGGAGCACGTTCGAGACCAACGGCCAGGGATGGTGCGCACCAAGGTGAGTCTGGACCCAGAACCCCCAGGAAATATCAGATGGAGTTCACGTTAAAGCCTGAAACATACTCGCTCCGATGCTGACGGGTCGATGCGCGGTCAAGTGGTTGATCAGCAGTCGTTTTCGCACAGCCTTTTCCTAGTCACTGAGACACCCCGCGCCGAGCTCCTGGGAAACCCCCTCCCACTGAACCATACGTCACTGCATGGAATTTCTTCCTGCAACCGCCGACAATCAATGCAGAAAAAAAAGACGTCACTCACCCGACGTATTTATCCACATCTGTCCTGGTTTAGCTTCCACAGTTTTTATCAGTCAGATTCCTCCATGCATGTCTGTTTAATCTCCATTCATGAGTTTTTCACGGTTTCACTATCTTTATAAAACTCTGCTTCCTGGTGTCAGCTCTGGGAGCGAGTCAGGGCTTTTTTCCCCTCTTTTTTCGTTTTTTTTTTTCTGAGTGCAGCAGCACATGCAGTGGTTTGCAAAAGTATTCATACCCCTTGAACTTTTCCATATTTTGTCACATTACAACCACAAACATAAATATATTTCACTGGAATTTAATGTGAAAGACCAACACAAAGTGGTATACAATTGTGAAGTGGAAGCAAAATTTTACATGAATCAAAACATTTTTTACAAATAAAAAACTGAAAAGTGCGATGTGCAAAATTATTCAGCCCCCCTGAGTCAATACTTTGTGGAGCCACCTTTTGCTGCAATTACAGCTGCAAGTCTTTTAGGGTATGTCTCCACCAGCTTTGCACATCTAGTGACTGCAATTCTTGCCCATTCCTCCTTGCAAAACAGCTCAAGCTCAGTCAGATTGGATGGAGAGCGTTTGTGAACAGCAGTTTTGAGATCTTGCCACAAATTCTCAATTGGGTTTAGGTCTGGACTTTGACTGGGCCATTCTAACACATGAATATTCTTTTTTTTAAACCACTCCATTGTAGCTTTGGCTTTATGTTTAGGGTCGTTGTCCTGCTGGAAGGTGAACCTCCGCCCCAGTCTCAAATCTTTTGCTGACTCCAACAGGTTTTCTTCCAAGATTGCCCTGTATTTGGCTCCATCCATCTTCCCATCAACTTTGACCAACTTCCCGGTCCCTGCTGAAGAGAAGCACCCCCAGAGCATGATGCTGCCACCACCATATTTGACAGTGGGGATGGTGTTTTCAGAGTGATGTGCAGTGTTCTTTCTCCGCCACACATAGCGTTTTGCATTGTGGCCAAAAAGTTCAATTTTGGTCTCGTCTGACCAAAGCACCTTCTTCCACATGTTTGCTGTGTCCTCAACATGGCTTCTGGCAAACTGCAAACGGGACTTCTTATGGTTTTCTTTTAACAATGGCTTTCTCCTTGCCACTCTTCCATAAAGACCACATTTGTGTAGTGCACGACTAATTGTTGTCCTGTGGACAGTTTCCCCCACCTGAGCTGTGGCTCTCTGCATTTCATCCAGAGTCACCATGGGCCTCTTGGCTGCCTCTCTGATCAGTGATCTCCTTGTTCGGCCTGTAAGTTTAGGTGGACGGCCTTGTCTTGGCAGGTTTACTGTGGTGCCATACTCTTTCCATTTCCGGATGATGGATTGAACAGTGCTCCGTGAGATGTTCAAAGCTTGGGAAATCTTTTTATAACCTAAACCTGCTTTAAACTTCTCCAAAACCATATTCCTAACCTGTCTGGTGTGTTCTTTGGACTTCATGATGCTGTTTGCTCCCCAGTATTCTCTTAACCAACATCTGAGGCCGTCACGGAGCAGCTGTATTTGTACTGAGATTAGATTACACACAGGTGGACCCTTTTGAGTCATTAGCAGTCATCAGGCAACTTCTGAATGCAATTGGTTGCACTCAGGGAAAAGGGGGCTGAATACTTTTGCACGTCGCACTTTTCAGTTTTTTATTTGTAAAAAATGTTTTGATTCATGTAAAATTTTGCTTCCACTTCACAATTGTATACCACTTTGTGTTGGTCTTTCACATTAAATTCCAGTGAAATATATTTATGTTTGTGGTTGTAATGTGACAAAATATGGAAAAGTTCAAGGGGTATGAATACTTTTGCAAACCACTGTATTAAGCAGAAACAAACAAGCCATACATTTTTCACGGTTTGACTATATCTTATAAAACTCTGCTTTCTAGTCTGGGAGCGAGTCGTTCTTTTTTCTTTTATTTTTCCCCCGAGCGCAGCACAAACAAAGACGCCCACGAATTTCAGACCAATCACACATTACCGTCGACACGGGAGTGGGGTCAAAAGTTCTGCCGGGGGGTTGTGCCAAAAGAGGCTGTCGGCACGACGCTGCGAAGCCCGGTGACGTAATTTTTGTCATTAAACTGCGACAACCCGTGGCGACGTCGGCAGTTCGAAGGGAGTATGTTTTCAGCTTTAGTGTTTGCATTTAAATTAAAAAATATTTGGTACCAGCTTTTAAAATTAAATCAAAGTGATCCAGGTCTTTGCGTATCAGGGTACTAATGATCTATTGTTAGGCTGATGGTCATCTTTTACGTATAAGCGGTTTGGATAGTCATTGATAAACTTGTTAGTCCACCATGTGGAGGCACTGCTCTTCAGACAGCAGAAATCTCTTGAAACGGAGCCGAAGTGTTTTTTTCAACAAAGAAGAACCCGTTCAGAGGCCCTATTTGACTTTTTTAAATGTTTGATACAAACATAAATTTACACGGCTCATATTTAATAATGCTAATAATAATAATAAATTGTGTGTGAATATTTGACTGCCTGATTACAACTTAATGTTAAAGATTCCTCACAATACTTATCAATAATAATTTGGCTGATGAGATAAACCGTCATTAATAAGCATTTTGATGTCAGTTTTTGGACATTTGGTTAAACTCTAAGGAGTGTACAGATGACTACAATCTCATTTTTTGCACACTGAAGGGCATTATAATAGCTTTAACCTTAGCTGCTCAATGATGACGAGTGCTATTTTTAACACTTGCTCTGCTCTGAGTAAACGATTGACGCTTGGCGGCCCACCAGCCTAGTACACTAGGGGAAATCCTTCAATAGGTTTGTCAAATATCGATGTGACATACTGTATACTGTATGTCACATTGGACAATAAACTCTAAATTGTACAGCATGTGATATTTGTCACAATGAGACAAATACTAATCATCAATTTAGTTCATCCAGTTATTTTAGATAAATATATTTAAATAAATATAAGTATGAAAATTTATGAAATTATTAAAATAAAATTTGTTATAAACTTACTATGTACTCCCAATGTAACATATATTAAATTTTTACTGGGTGGAAATATATAAAGAAATGTTACATATAATGCACTTATTCTAATTTACAAACCCTATCATTTTCATGAAAGTAGAAATGGGTCTGGGTTCTAAAGGGTTGAGTGATAAAGAGCTGCTGGACTTTATGGTTGCTGCAGGTTTTGACAGCAGTCAATCATTCCAGAGTGAAACATTTAGAAGACCTGTCAATCAAGTGTTTGTGTGAAAAGCTCAGGCAGGTTCCAGGGGTTAAGAGCTAAACTTTTTGGAAACCTGAAGAGATAAATGTGCTATGAAAAAAAATGATAGTATCAGGCAACGGCATCGGAATGGGGGGGCCAGGGGGCCATTGGCCCCCCCCACTTTACGGCCCTGCCCATCAGCTGGTCCCGCGACATTTACAGGCTGCACCCAACGCTGACAAGTTATGACAGACGTCTCTCTCTCTGTGTGTCTCGTTGCGCAGCGCTCAGCTGATGGTGCGCTCTCGCTCGCAAGCTGGAGTTGATCTTGATGCTTATGTTAGTGTAGTATTTTCCAGAAGGCAGTGCAGTTCATAACTATAATGATGTAAAAATGTGAACAAACTCTTGATAATAAATGAATGAAGTATTTAAATGAGACGCGGTGCGCACAACCCGTGGAGGACAGTCTGAGGATTTATGCACATGCGCCAGCTCTGGGTCGGGCTGTGATCATAAACATGTCTGATACCTGAAAAAATGTTTTGCCTCTGATCCCATCCGGGTCGACCAAAGTAGCCTAAAAATAAAATACGAATTTCGTATTTTGTAGCACATCCAGCCCAAACCTGTGCGCAACTGTCCGTTCTCCAGATCCATGCTGACGGGTTGTGGAGGAAACAAACAAACAAAAAAAACAAACCATAGTCCTTTTACAGGTCCGGGCCAAATGCTCACCTGACCCAGAGCAGATAACTTTTCAGTCAGGGCAAACAAATAATTGTGCGGAGTTTGTCATTATTGTTGCTGTCCAAAAGCAGCTGGAGTTTGCTGCTGTGATGACAAAATGCTGCCAGATGAGGAAATAACATTTTCCTCGTTTTCCCCTCAAAATAAAGTTTGTTGTTAACTAAATTACCTAAATCGTTTGCTTCTCACCAGCTCTTGCGTAAAAAGACTGGGTTTACAGCGCAAGTTTCTGACCCACTGTTCCAAACTTCAGTAGATGTGTTCAGTTGTTTTCATGGTCATTTATAAAGCAGTTGGATTTCCTGTGATCATCCTAATAAATGATTTAAGTTGCAAAACAATCACAGGTGAAAACTTCATTATTTAATTGTTGCATGATGATGAGTCAAGCTCACAAGCGGCTGCTGATGAACTGAAAAATATCTAAAAAAACACCTTATTTATGACTGCAGTTTTATTTTATTTTTCGTTTTAGACTTTATTTGCAGCTTTTCCATATCTGATGACTGTCGGTACCACTGAGATTACAGTGTGGCATCCCCCCGACCCCCCACCTAGGGCTGCCACAAACAATTATTTTTATAATCGATTAATCACTGATTATTTTTTCGATTAGTCGACTAATCGGATCATACGTTAATTGAATATCAAACATACAGCTTATCGCACCAGAATGCAGCTGCTATTATATAACTATCGTTAGATTTTAGCTATATGCTAACTAAAAATAATTGCTGTGGAAGGCAAGTTCTGCTCTRCAGATRTTGCACAGGTTTCTCTTTCATTTTCTTAAAATGATCCCACACTTTTGAGCTCCGATGCTGGGTAGCCATGATACCAGAGCCTGTCTGTAAAACGTCTTGTGACGTCCACGGCCTACCCCAGGTACCACTTCTGTGCGTATAAGGACAGAAAGGCAGATGTGGCAGTGGAAGKTGTCAAAGCAGTTTGGAGAGAAAAACAAAGTAAAGAACAAAAAAAGAAAGAAAACGATTAATCGATAATTAAATTAGTCATCGATTATTTTAATAATCGATTAGTCGTCGACTAATCGTGGCAGCCCTACCCCCACTTAAAATGAATCAGGTGTTTGTAGCAACTGGTTCAAATCCCACAGGCTGCTAGTACCTGGACCATCAAGGCTTAATATAAGAGCCTGCAGCACCCCCTGCTGGTGAAGACCTGCTTTGTTTATTGATTTTTCACAAAAGTAAATAAATACCCTTATGCTTTAAAACTGCTGAGTAGTGCATAAAAAAATCCTTAACAAAGTGACCGTCTATATTTAGCTGTGTCAGCCATTTTGAATCATACAATAAATACCTTAATTGGTTTCCAACCATTGACAGAAGTTAATGTTGACCTTGTAAATGACGTATTTAAAAACAGTTTCCATGCTTGTCTCCTCCCCAGGACCAGTTTGAGTTTGCGTTGACAGCAGTGGCTGAGGAGGTGAATGCCATCCTCAAAGCTCTGCCTCAGTGAAGCCACGACGACTCAGGCCTTTCCCCTCAACAGTTGCTCTCAGTCAGAAATAAAAAATATATATATACTGAGGTTAGAACTGATCTGTGTATCCCAACATGTTCAGGGACACCATTCTCAAAGCTGCATGTGAAACCATCTGACCATGTATCCAAAGATTTCATTTCCTGTAACTGTGTTTGATCAGATCTTTGTGAGATTACAGTTTGTGCTTCGGCCTCAGTCAGGACGTTAAACTTTAAAACACCACCTCATACTCCTGCTACATGACCTCTACCTGAATGAAGCCTGCGAAGAAACGGAAGAGAAACCTCCAGCTGTCCTCCTGTGTGCCATTTAAATTATTTTCTCTCTGGGTATGTTTACATTTACAAGCAAGTTAAAAGAATAAAAAAAGCTTTTGTATCTGTGAGACCTCAAAATAAAACTGTGTCTTAGTGCTGCAAAACTGTGTGACTTGCTGTAATTCTAGGATCTGAGAATGAACGCTCTGAACATGTGGAGACAGACACATGTTGGCACCAACGTACAGCTGACAGAAACCAAACAAACTTCAGCTCCACGTCTAAAACTGAGTCATTGCCAGATTAGCATTTGCAGCCATTTTGATTTTTGAGTACAACCGGAGTGACTGATGACTGCATTTTTTTTACGTGGGGGCCACTGCCCCCTGGGGGGTCGACAGGGAGCATTATGGAGTCCTCAGAAAGCTGGACGGGATGAGGGGGGAAAGGCTAAAACGTCCAATTTAAATCTAATATTTACGTCATCAAAACTGTCAATATTTGAAAATATTTATAAAAATTTGTGTTATTTAGGAGAGCAGTTTGATTTCTTTTGTTCTCTAATTGTCAACAGCTGGTTATTCAGTGGGATTAGTGTTTTAACACATTTCAGTTAAAATGTTAATGCTAAACATACTTTAGAGACTTAAAACACAACATTTTACATATTTTGTATGTTTGCAGCAGAGGGTCCCCTGCCAGAAGCTAATGCTGTTTGGGGGGATATGGCATGGAAGAGTTAAGGGAACCCTGATGTAGCAGTTTTTGGTCTTTTTATTTTCCCCCAGATCTAAAAGATTTAAGCCATCTGATGCCTTTAAGCTGAATGTAATAAAAAAATAAACACCTTTGACAGCTAGCATAGTTGTGTTATGCTAGTGGCAATGTTGCCGTGCTTACATTCACTCCTCATGATGAAAAGATGCATGCAGGCATTTAATTCACTCTCAGCAAGATTCTTTAAAAGGTGTACAAAATATTTATATTATGATTGAGGTGGACATTTCCCTCCAACAATGCTATAAACTAACAATGTTATAAACTTAAATTAGCCACCCAAAGCCAAATCACTTTTAGTTTCCAGAAGTAAAACAAAATGCAGCAATTGTTGCTGGTGGGATTAAAGTTTGAGAATTGTTTTTATGTTAAGTAATCAGGATTTGACAAATTTATAAAATTTGCTTTAGTAAATCAATTTTAGAATAACTCCCAGTCTTCAAATGATAAAATCCACACACGACAAACGTTGGTTAACCTTTATTTGCAGACAAATCAAAACACAATCAGTGTAGCATTAAAGCTTTAGTACTCCTCTCCTTCCTCTTCCTCCTCAACGCTGTCGGTTCCCACCTCCTCGTAATCCTTCTCCAGAGCAGCCATGTCCTCCCGGGCCTCGGAGAACTCBCCCTCCTCCATGCCCTCCCCCACGTACCAGTGGACGAAGGCCCTCTTGGCGTACATCAGGTCAAACTTGTGGTCCAGGCGGGCCCAGGCCTCTGCGATGGCGGTGGTGTTGCTCAGCATGCACACGGCCCTCTGGACCTTGGCCAGGTCTCCACCGGGGACCACGGTGGGGGGCTGGTAGTTGATGCCCACCTTGAAACCAGTTGGACACCAGTCCACAAACTGAATGGAGCGTTTGGTTTTGATGGTGGCGATGGCAGAGTTGACATCTTTGGGCACCACGTCTCCACGGTACAGCAGGCAGCAGGCCATGTACTTCCCATGGCGGGGGTCACACTTCACCATCTGATTGGCGGGCTCGAAGCAGGCGTTGGTGATGTCAGCCACCGACAGCTGCTCGTGGTACGCCTTCTCTGCAGATATGACCGGGGCGTAGGTGGCCAGGGGGAAGTGGATACGAGGGTAGGGCACCAGGTTGGTCTGGAACTCGGTCAGGTCCACGTTCAGGGCGCCGTCGAAGCGCAGGGAGGCGGTGATGGAGGACACGATCTGTCCGATCAGCCGGTTCAGGTTGGTGTAGGTGGGACGCTCGATGTCCAGGTTCCTGCGGCAGATGTCGTAGATGGCCTCGTTGTCCACCATGAAGGCGCAGTCAGAGTGCTCCAGGGTGGTGTGGGTGGTCAGGATGGAGTTGTACGGCTCCACCACAGCTGTGGACACCTGAGGAGCCGGGTAAACTGCAAACTCCAGCTTGGACTTCTTGCCGTAGTCGACTGACAGACGCTCCATCAGCAGCGAGGTGAAGCCAGAGCCGGTTCCTCCTCCAAACGAGTGGAAGATGAGGAAACCCTGGAGACCTGTGCACTGGTCCGCCTGAAACCAGACCGTTTACATCAGACTCAAGGTTCCTCACAAACAGCATCAACAAATCTAAGGCCCTAGAATTTCTGCCATGTGGAAAACACGCCATCACAGAAATGACCAAACAAAATGGAATCCAGTAAATGAGCTTGGATCCAAGTGTGCACAAATTATTGCTTTTTTTGAAGGTTTTATGACATTTCATGTTAAAATCATTTGTGAAACATTTTTAATTTACAAGAGGGTAACTATTCATACGAGTTTCCATTAAAGCAATGGGTGTCCAAACTTATTCACCAAGGGCCAAAATGAAAATCTACTCAAGGGCTGCAGGCCACATGCAGTAATACAGAGAAAATGCATATACTACTTTAGTAATGTCTTTACTTTTTTTTTTATGATTTAGCCAAGAGTTAGTGCAGTGGCTCACATGTTTGTTTTTAATCCATACACTTGCTCAGGCAGCAGAAGCTCATGGGACATTTCATATGTTGATAAAATATGAGTATCGTAGTCTTAAAGTTTTCAAATCTACATTTGTGCTTAAATCTAATGTAAATATCTTTGGTTTCTTGTATTCTATATTTAATCTTAATATAATTCAGGGCAAAGTAGCTATCTGGGCTACAGTCCCTTTTTTAGTCATTGGATGCAATTACTGGGAATTTAGGTTTAAAATAAAAAAAATAATAAAAAAAATAGTTTATAAGACCCTACAAATCCTACCAGTTTACGAGTCCTGTCCAGAACCAGGTCAATGATCTCCTTGCCAACGGTGTAGTGACCACGAGCGTAGTTGTTGGCAGCGTCTTCCTTCCCGGTGATCAGCTGCTCAGGGTGGAACAGCTGCCGGTAGGTTCCGCTACGGATCTCATCTAATAGAAAGATTCAAATCAAAATTTTACATTTGATTTCACGCCCACATGGAACAGGAGGAGAGACAAGAGAATATCAGACTGAATCTCATATCTGAGTACCGATAACGGTTGGTTCCAGGTCCACAAAGATGGCCCTGGGAACATGTTTTCCAGCTCCGGTCTCACTGAAGAAGGTGTTGAAGGAGTCATCTCCTCCTCCAATGGTCTTGTCACTGGGCATCTGTCCATCAGGCTGAATGCCGTGCTCCAGACAGTACAGCTCCCAGCATGCATTGCCCATCTGGACGCCAGCTTGGCCGACATGCATAGAGATACATTCACGCTGTCAGAAAAAAAGGAAAGAACCATTTTAGGAGCAGAAGGAGTGTAACAGGGTGAACTTAACATACAGAGTACCAAAAACAATCAGGAGGCATTTTATCAACATCAAGTAGTTTAACTCAGGTGTATCTGGAGCTTTTCTGTCTTTTAAGTTCACTGCAAATTGTTTTACAACTCAGGTGTACGGCAGGCTGATCATGTTCTGCAATGATGTGCAATTAAAAAAAATTAAGCCACGAGTATTAGTAATACTAATTTTACCAATGTCACTTGTTATAAAATGTGGAAAAACAATTCTTGGTACCAAAAAACTTGAATGTACATCTATAATTTTAAAAAGAAAAAAAAATAGTATAGGTCTTCTGGACAGGTTCTTCTCTAATGAAACGTTTCGTCTCTCCTCCAAGAGACTTCTTCAGTCTGAGAGTTTCAGGCAAAATTCAGGCTTTATAAGCATGAATTTAAAAAGCCTGAATGAAAAAAAAAAGGCTTAAAAAGCCTGAATTTTGCCTGAAATTCTCAGACTGAAGAAGTCTCTTGGAGGAGAGACGAAACGTTTCATTAGAGAAGAACCCGTCCAGTAAAACCTATACAATTTTATTATTTTAGATTTTTTTTTTACCTGGATTACTGAGATGCATCAGGAGATATAATTTTAATTTAGGCAGATCAGCTGGTTACATTTTCATGACCCATATAAGCAGCTCGGCGTCCTGACGCGCCTTGTACGAATCACGGGACAGTTTTTATCCACAGTTGATTGTAATCTGTAAACATGGTCACGGCACTTGGCTCCTCCCATCATTGCAGTAAAAACGCGCCCTTCACGTAAGGAGACGACCGGAAGTAGAACACCCCCACCCACTCCCGCATGTGACGTTCACGGGGCACGCAGGGATCAAAGTTGGAAAAACTGCCGCTTAAAGTTCCTGCTCGACTTAAATATGAACAGAAAATCCTACCATGTATTTTCACATTAACTTAAGACAAAGTACTGCTCTTAAAAAGGTTAAGAAATAAAACTTAAAGCGATAAACTTCAACCGTCGGCGCATTTTTAAACTGCGTCATCTCGGCCTCGATGGACAGGAGGGATTATCAGGAAACAAAAGTATTTTCCTAAATAACGGCGTTTACACAATTTAAAGGTCTTTGTTACGAACATGCAGTCTGGTTTTTTTTATATCAGGTTACAAACAAAAAATTTAAACGTCTGTTTACTGTTACTGCTCGTTTGTAGCTTTGAATTAGAATTTGTTAAAAATTTTTGGACTGCTTGCCCGGCAAAACTCACCATCTTTGCTTTTCTCTTCCTGTCCCCGACGTTCAATGATCGGCTGTAGAAGACGGTGTGTGAAGGAAGAACCGCCGGGAGCTTTTATAAAGCCTTCTGGGGGCGGGGCTACAAGGCGGGCTTTTTCCCCCTCGGCGGGAGGAAGTAAAAAAAAAAAAACGCCTCAGTACTTCCGCTGGGTCTAGTTTTTGATAAGAAACTAACTTGAGGAAATCACATAGAACATATTATAGAGAAAAGTAAAAAGGTTTTAAACATTATGAGGTGTTTAGCAGGATTGACATGGGGTGCAAGTTTTGATTCCCTAAAAAAAAATATATGTATCACTAATTAGGTCAGGAATAGATTATGGGTGTGTGGTGTATGGATCAGCAGCCAAAACTAGGTTAAAAAAGTTAGACGTTATTCAAGCCAGCTGAGAATTTGTTTAGGGGCAGTTAGATCAACACCAATATGTGCGTTACAAGTAGAGTCAGGAGAAATGCCATTATGCATTAGAAGACAGCAGCTAATGGTCAATTATTGGATAAGTTTAAAAGGACATAATGCAGATCACCCGGTTAAGAAAGTATTAGAAAAGTGTTGGGAAAGAGGAAAGAAACAAATTGATAGTTTTGGGTGGGTTGGTGATGATAGAGCGAAAATTTTTAATGTATATAATAAGGAATTTAGTCCAACTGTATTGTGGCCTTTGAGACCTACATGGACTTGGCAATATGTTAATGTAGACAGAACACTAACACATATTAAGAAAAGGAACACGCTAGATATTTGCCAAGAATTTTATAATCAAACGCAGAATAAATATAATGACCACTTGCAAATTTATACGGATGGGTCGAAAGACCCCAAAAGTGAAGCAACCAGTATAGCCGTAGTGATTCCTGATTTAAAGATTAGTATTTCAAAAAGAGCATCTGATTATTTGAGTGTATTCACAGTAGAATTATGTGCTATTTTGGTAGCTTTAGAATGGGTGGAGCAAACTAATAGGAACTAGACATGGGTTTTTACGATGTAAAAACAAGTGTGCATTGCCTTGCAGCATGGCTTTGCCTGCAGCATTGGACCTGCAGAATGAAGTGTGACCAAGTTCAAATGTGTTTTCTAATTATTATCAGTCAAACACCAGCCAAGTCAGCAGGTGTTTGTAATTAGGGTAATTGTGTGACAATATAACAAACTGAAATTATGTAGTTTTACTGAAACAGTTTGTTCATAGCTGGGATTGCACCCTGATCTCCTGAATGAAATCCCTCAGTGTTCACCATGACACTAAAGGAGCTGTAGCAGAGGACAATCCCAGGGCTTGGATTGTATGTATGCAGAAAGAGTTTACCTTGTCAATACCATTATTGACACTAAACTGCATAATATTACAAAAATAGAGCAGTATTAAGACAATATTATAGTAAAACATTAAAATACAATCATATTAGTACTGTAAACACTGAACTACTGAGTTGAAATATTAAACTATGGTGCAGTACCAAGTTGAGTACAGCATGAGGCAGTATTGGACCAATAAAAGGCTCCATTGACTGCCATTATAATTCATTAAACATTAATATTTCGTAAACTATAAGTTTTACAGGCACCAAAAGACATAGCCATCATTTGGCACATGGGCTTTACAGATATAAATTACAATGGCAGCTCTATAACAAAGTATGCAGGAGAAGCATGCCAAAGTTGAGAGGACTTGGATGGGAAACGAATCACAATAGTGTGCATTGCATTGGCAACGCACACTGATAAAATAATAGTTTGTAGTGACTCTCTATCTGCGTTGATGAGTATCGGAAAGGGACGAACAAAAAAATCATCAAACTATTTTATATGAGATTATGGCGGTTCATCATAGGTTATGTGAACAAAATAAAAATGTTGTGTTATTCTGGACTCCTGCCCATGTAGGTATTATGGGGAATGAAAGAGCAGACAGGCTGGCTAAGGAGGAGACCAAAAAAGATGATATTGATATGCAAATAAAATTATCTAAATCTGAAGGCAAAAGTATAATCTGGAAAGAAAGCAAGAAGATATGGGAAGTTGGTTGGGAAAATGAAATAAAGGGAAGACATTTATTTAGGATTCAAAATACAGTCAATGTAGAAAGGATCAGAGGAATGAACAGGAGGGAGATAATTATAAATAGAGTAAGAATAGGGCATAGTTTCCTAAATGGAAATATTTTTAAGATGGGGAAGCACCTTACTGGTTTATGTAGATGGTGTGATGATGTAGAGACAGTAGAACATGTTTTGATTAAATGTGGGAAATATGCAAGCCAAAGAAGATTATTAAAAACGGAACTAGGTGTTAGTAGGGAATTGAAATTTGAGAAGGTGATCGAACAAYTGAATAATATTGAGGGGAAAAAGAAGATATTTCGTTTCTTAAAAAACACTGGGATCTTTAAGAGAATCTGAGGTGTAGTTGGTGGGAGTCAATAGAGGGCAGTAATGAAACATTAATGGATGCAAGCTGCCGTTAAAACCTAAAGAAGAAGAAGAAGCTTCCCCTGGGTCGCGCGTTGGTATTGACGCCATTTTGAATGTGGCATGTGGAGCGGTCGGTGAAGATGCCCCACTCGTGTGCAGCGTGGAATTGCACCAACAGGTTTACCGCACAAACCAGATCTGCTGGCATTAGCTTTCACAGGTAAGCCTGTAAAACTTACTGATGGGAAAATGAAGGTTTTTTGAAGCAATGAAGCTTGCTTAAGGGCATTAAGGATCTCTGCCTATTGATTTATTAATTGAATCATTTACTTTTGTAATGATCCGGGATATTTTGGGGTTAAAATACATCATAATTATTTTACCGTTTACTTAACTTTCCTGTTTTCTTTGTATTTAGCTACTCTGCAACTGTTCTGTTCCACATAAGTTCAACAATTTAGAAAAGGTTTACTCATTTTTTTATATTTTTACAATTTTAGGATGCATTATAGAACACACCTAAAATACTTAATTTTCTAAGAGTACAGTGTATGTTTACCTGCTGCACTACAAACTAGGAAAAATTACATGATTCAACAAATACAACCATAATGTGACAAGAGCAGACTAAATGCATGTCATTTTCAGCAAATAAACGTACAAATGACATCGTAAATTTTGAAAAGCTAGAATTTGCTGAATTTGTGGCTATAGTTCTATTCCTGTATACATGATACTGTGAATAATGCAGTAAGTCAGGCTCCTAACATCCAAATAATTTTTCCTATTTGACTAAATCAGCCCAAAGTAACTACTCTATTGTTATTTGCTCATCAAATATTTTTCATGCTATAGGTTTCCTAAACACAAAAAGCTGAGAAAGCAATGGGAAACCGCAGTCAGAAGGGAAGGGTTATCTGCTAGTTCGTCATCTGTGCTCTGCAGTGAACATTTCAGACCGGAGAACTTTGACAGAACCGGTCAGACAGTCAGGCTCAGAGCTGGAGCTGTTCCTTCAGTCTTCAGTTTCCCAGCTCATCTCCACAAGGTCAGTGTATCACTGTTCTGTAAGGATGCAATAATTCAATGCCACACTCTCCTTAAAAATACATAAATATATACTGTGTGTGTGTG